TTTTTTGAGACAGAGTTTTGATCTTTGTTGCCCAGGCTGGAGTGCAATGGCGCAATCTCACCACAACCTCTGCCTCCCGGGTTCTAGCGATTCTTCTGCCTCAGCCTCCCGAGTAGCTGGGATTACAGGCACACACCACCATGCCGGGCTAATTTTGTATTTTTAGTAGACACAGATTTTCTCCATGTTGGTCAGGCTGGTCATGAACTCCCAACCTCAGGTAATCCACCCACCTCCATCTCCCAAAGTTCTGGTATTATAGGCGTGAGCCACCACGCTCGGCCACTAATTTTTGAAATTGGTTTATTTTCTTATTGTTCAGTTCAGAAAGATTTTATTTACTTATTACTAGACTTAGTAATACTTTGTTGATGTGATTCGCAAATGTTTTCTCAGAGGCTTTGGCTTCTCTTTTTATTCTTTTAAGAAAACACTGGTTATAAAATTTAAAATTTATATAAAACACAGGTTTAAATACTGGTGAATATTCATGTACCTTTTGGCTAATGAAGACCTTTTTTTTTTTTTAAATTTTATTTTTAGACAGAGTTTTGCTCTGTTGCCCGTGCTAAAGTGCAGTAGCATGATATCAGCTCACTGCAACCTCTGCCTCTGGGGTTCAAGCAATTCTCTTGCCTCAGCCTCCTGAGTAGCTGGGATTACAGGCATGTGCCACCATGCCTGGCTAATTTTTTGTATTTTTAATGGAGATGGTGTTTCACCATATTGGCCAGGCTGGTCTTGAACTCCTGACTTCAGGTAATCCATCTGCTTCAACCTCCCAAAGTGCTGGGATTACAGGTGAGAGCCACCGTGCCCAGCCACAAAGGACTTTGTAAGCATAACATCATAAACGAGAGAAAAAATGAAGAAGGAATTAAATGCGATTATTTTTTAAAGTTTTATAGAAAAATTACTTAATGAAAACTCAGCCGGGCGAGGTGGCGCACTCCTGTAATCTCAGCACTTTGGGAGGCCAAGGCAGGCAGGTCACAAGGTCGAGAATTCAAAACCAATCTGGCCAACATAGTGAAGCCCCATCTGTACTAAAAAAACAAAAATTAGCTGGGAAAGGTAGAATGCACCTGTAGTCACTTGGGAAGCTGAGGCGGGAGAATTGCTTAAACCTGGGAAGCGGAGGTTGCAGTGAGCCAAGACCACACCATTGCACTCCAGTCTGGGTGAAAGAGTGAGACTCCAGCTCCAGAAAAAAAAATTAAAAGTCAAGTAACAAATTACAGAAAATGTTTTCATAAACATGTAACCTATAAAAGATCAATGTCAGCCAGGCACGGTGGCTCACACCTATGATCCCAGCATTTTGGGAGGCCGAAGCGGGTGGATCACAAGGTTAAGAGTTCGAGACCAGCCTGGCCAACATGGTGCAACCTCGTCTCTATTAAAAATACAAAAATTAGCCCAGCATGGTGGCGTGTGCTTGTAGTCCCAGCTACTTGGGAGGCTGAGGCAGGAGAATTGCTTGAACCTGGGAAGCAGAGGTTGCAGTGAGCCAAGATCATGCCACTGCACTCCAACCTGGGTGACAGAGTGAG